ACTACTACTTCTTCTACTACTACTGCTTCTACTGCTACTGCTACTGCTACTGCTACTGCTACTGCTACTGCTACTGCTACTGCTACTGCTACTGCTACTGCTACTGCTACTGCTACTGCTACTGCGACTACTGCTATCATTGCAGTAGCAGTAGCAGTAGCAGCAGCAGCAGCAGCAGCAGCAGCAGCAGCAGCAGCAGTTGTAGTTAGTAGTTCGTAGATCTTGGTACTTCGTAGTTTGTAGTTAGTAGTTGGTAGCCAGTAGCTAATAATTAACAACAAAACGAGTAGATAGTAGTTCGCTTCACGTATTGGTAACATTTGGGAACCCGGGACCGATGGCTGTGCTCAGGGTAAACATAGGCTTTGCTTCGCACCTTCATCGTAGCGCGGTAGGGTTCATCCCAATCGGGGCCCCTCACTTTCAGACTACAGTACCCATGAAAATCTAGGTGAAACGGACATGGGTCTGCTCGGCCTTGGCGTCACTGGCTCGGAAGCACCTTGCATTGTGCATCTCTGCCCCACCTCGACTTCCTGCTGCCCCGAAACCCGCATCTTACGCTTCACCCTGAACCCTACCCTTCCTGAAGATACAGGAACACTTGACAGCCAAAGACCAATCCTACCCACAGCCCCTCGTTTTGCCACATGACTCTTGACCTCTGGAACCGACCAAACACTTTGGTTCAGAACCAGCCCCGCATGAACCCATGAGCCGTACACATCTCAGCCTGGAAGCCCTCCATGAACACGTGAATCCGCCTCACACCCCAGGCGAAAACTCCTACGTTTTACATCTGGACTTGGTGAATCTACCTAAACCCTCAGCCCTAGACCCCCAGACCCAGAAGCCCAGAGACACAACACACCGCGTAGGCACCTGGTGCGTCGTCTCTACCGGCCTCGTTCCTGCAAGCGCTGAGTAGCACTTTGGATCAATTAGGGTTTAGGGTTTAGGGTTTAGGGTTTAGGATTAGTTAGAACTGAAAAGGGGCCTAAGACATGAGTTTAGGGTTGAGGATTGCCTGCCTTGGTCTTGGTGAGATCAGTCTGAAATTGTGGATGGTATCATTTGCATGGAGTGTCTCGAGTTTCTTTTGCTGCTTCCGTGGTGAGTCGTAGCTTGTTGCTGCTGGTGTGGCTCACGGTTATGCCTTTATCCGCATCGAAGCACGTATCGTACGGATTTGCAACGACGACAACGACGACCACCATTGCACAGTACGACGGCTAGCCTGCCAGGAAACTGCGGATATCTGCCATGAGTGAACAGTTGAGAGTTGCCACCAATGCTGACACCTTGCGGCTTTGTGGTCACAAGCACGAGATAACTAGCAGCATACCCCCGCCCCAAACCTGCTTGGCTTGTAATACTTGTAAAACCTGGGTCCTTTGATTTCAGATTGTTCCCCCATTCGTATCGAAAGAAACACCCTTTATGTTGCTCAAAACCTTGAAACCCTTAACCCTGAACCCTTCTAGATCCCTTAACACGACCCCTGAAAGGAATGCCTTAAATGAAGCCAAAAAGAATCCCACGTTCGAAGATGCTCAGCGGCGCCGACTGTTCAACGTGAGCCAGCCGCCATAAGTCAGGACATGGCGAGCTGGGTGAAACTTCGACGGTCCGGGGCGGAGCGCCAACCCTGGCCCCAGAGAGCCCAATGCCCCCCCCCCCCTCAATGGAGCAATCTGATTCGGGGATCCTGGGGCCTTGGATTTGTGGAGTTTAGGGTTTGGGGTTCAGGGTTTAGGGTTTGGGGTGTACGGTGCCTTCAGACTCTCTGAGAGTCTGATGTGAAGAGTATTGGGCTCTCCGGGCCAGCTTTCGGAAGGTGCACCTGTCGATGACTTTAGGGAAGCTGCAGACCACACACCTTCGCCACAACAACCATCTTCGTTATTCTTTCGAAGCCTAATGTACGGGCCTGAATAACTACAGTACCAATACTATTTTGGGAGGCTCCTTATTATACTTAATGGGCCCCAAGACCCTATTCTAAGTATCAAGGCCCCTATTAGGCGTCCAACCGCAAACTGAAGCAAAAGGATCCATGCGAAAAGCTTGCGGATGCTGTTCAGCTTCCCTTACGCTGGTCAAGACTCTGCACATGGCGGCTGCTCTAGATTATGGTCCCTCCCCGGCAGTCGTTCGCTCTAGAAATGCACCAGTCTAGACAACAAGGGACCATAATTTAAAAGCATCTCCCAAGACTTGCACTTGGGAGTTGCAGACTTTTCGAACCTGGCAGCTGGCATTGAAGCCCTTTTTAGCCCTAAACCCTACATAAGCCCCCTCTCGCCTTGCATCAGCACCTCTAGGCAGAGGTCCTCCCCTCAGGCCCTGCCTCCAAGACTCGGCCCAGGGGGGGATCCTATCTTTTTGGGTGGTTTTGGAAGGTCTTTTTTGAATTAATGGCCTTACCGCACCTGTCCTATAATAGCTTCTTGCAGCCGTACCGTAACCCGAAGCTATCTGGACTCTCCTGCCTGAACCCAAGGCCCAGCCAGCCAGACTTTACGGGAGCGCCACAAGTTGGACCTGATTTCGAGGCCCCGTGTGGCAAACCTCCTCCACGTGCCCTCAGGGCAGGTGTTGGAGGCATCAAACGCTTATCCTTCTTCGGGAGGGTCCCCTCGTCAGGGTTGCGGGTCGAGAGCTTAGGGTGAGTTAAGGGCTTCGGGTTCTTTCTGCTGGGACGTTCCCTTCTTCAAGCGCTCGAGGGGTCCAAATAACAATGCATGACGGTCCTGAGCGAACCTACAGGGTCTCTTTCCCGAAACAAGCAAACTTTTACCGTTGTGCGTTTTCAAACATTCTCCTTATTTGGGCCCCTGTGGCGCTTCTAGTGGTCTCAGTGTGCATGTGGCACATCATACTCTGCCCATCCAACCCTCCACAGATGCGTTGCACGCACAAACTTCCTGATTGCGGACGATTTCTGGGTAGCTGCGTGCCCTAAAGCAATTCAGTTTGGTGCTCTTTTCAGTGGCCTTGCCAACATCAGGTGCTCGGCACGAGTCCACTTGAGCGCCTGTCCAGTTGAGGAGTGAGGCGTGAGTTTCCGGAAAAGGTCCGTGGGTCCATTCCGAGTGACTCTTGACAACGAGCTTGTACGACTGCTGCATGCCATGGACGCTGAACGATGACTTGTCCCGTAATTGAACCCTGCCATCTCTTCAGGACAGCAAAGCCTTCAGCATGGCACTTCGTTCCCTAGTAGCAGTACTAGTACAAGTAGTTAGTAGTAGTCGTCGTCGTCGTCGTCGTCGTCGTTGCAATGGTATCCGTCGTCGTCGTCGTCGTAACAGTTAAGTTATAGTATACTACTACAACGACTAGGACGACGACTACTGTTACTACATTCCTATCTGCTACCTACCTGCTGCCTACTTCCTGCTTCCTACTGCCTAGTACTTGGTACCTACTACCAACTACTAACTACCTACTACCTACGACCTACTCCAAGTAGTTCGAGCCGAGTGGTAGTAAAAGCAATCCGCGGCGACAGCCCTCGTCATCACAAAACAACAACAGCAGCAGGAAGTGCAAACACAGCAGCACCAACGCCGCCACGACTCTGGTTACACGCTCTTCAACTTACTAGTAGAAGACACTATGATAACAAGGGCAACACTCCGGATAGTAGCGGCATACTTGGCTTCAGTCTGCTGCTACTGGCAAATACTGTAAGTTCCCGCATAGTTAGGGTTTTGGGCTCCTTTGTGTAATGTTGGTAACTATCTAGGCTTCTATATTAAGCACACCCAGAACAGCCAGCCTCTAGTCTAGTGGCCCGACATGAGGACGGCCGTGGTGGCGGACGCGCAGACCGTGTTCTGCTGCTCGTCGGTCTCCAAGCCTGAAAACTGGACCTTTGCCGGGTTTAGGGCCTTTTAGGGCTAAAGGTTAAGGGTGCAGACCCTATACCACGGCTGTGGTTTTAGGGCCTTTTAGGGTTTGGGATAGGACTGATTTGGGTTGAAGGGCCGCAATCAAGAGGCCAGACCGGTGCTGACAGATGTGACTTCTTGATGCAAGGGTTCAGGATGAGCTTTCCTCCCATGTAGCCCGAGAAAAACAGGAAATCTGAATCTTCGCCCGAAAGCATCCAGGCTCTAAGCAGAGAGCCTTGATGATTCCTGTGTTCGCAGCATGGAACTTCTTCCTCCATATCCTGGCAGGACAACGCATACTCTCAGCACGAACCTAGTCCTGACGCAGCTGCGCTCAACAAGAGACCGGAGATGAAACCCTTGCCAAGCTTTAAAGCTCCGTAATCTTGCGCTGTATCACACTTCACTTCTCTACAGCAATCGCTGAAGCCCGGCGAGAACATCGAGGCATCATGTCGAACATCTCGTACTGGCGTCCTCGTCGCCCCAGCTTGGTCTTGACCCGCGAACTTAAGGAACGTAGCCTGCCGTCAAAGGCTCTGTGCTCTTGGGGCGAACACGAGATCAGAACCGAGGACACGTTAACATCGGGGCCTTAATAATTACTTATACTATTTTGGGGGGTTCCTTAAAATAATTAAAGGCAGGATGCTATATTCCAAAAACCCTGTTCTAATTACGAACTCCCCTTTTCAGCATGGGCTTGGATTGTGTGCCAGCGAACACACCTCAACAGCAGGGCCTTCTCGTTTTCCCCTACAGTACTCTCTGTGCTTCTGTGTACTGAGCTTTAGACTGGTCATTGGCACGGTCAAGGCCTCAAAAGCAACAACCAAACACACCCTAGACCCAGGCCCTTAATTTGGGACCATTTACCCCAATCTGAGGGTACTTGGAGGGTCCTGGACTCCGAAGCCGTCTTTTTTGCCTCCGAAGCCCTCTACGGTTTAGGGTTGAACCAGACCTCGAAACCGCAAGCGTTCATCCTAAACCTGGCCTTGCTTATCTGCAACAGCTCGCACACCGTGGCCGTCTGGATCGTCAACGGCGATCTGTACCTCTGTGCCCCAGTGTCCCATTAACAATAATGGACACCTTTCTTGCTACTTGTCAGTTTCAAAAATGAAAAGGGCAAAAGGGTACTACTTGGGGGACCTAGGTACGGCTCAGGCGTGGTCAATGTCTCCCGATCCACGATCGTCGGCGCCTGAGCTCGACCTGTGCACCGGGCTGCATGGGAGCATCCATTCGGAGGTTTCACAAAACAGGGTGTGCGATATTTATGGGCCAATTTTTTGAAATATATGACTAGGGTCCCCAGTTGTCTAGAACTGTGGCAACTAGACCTCTGTGTCGTCGTCATTGCCGTGGCTCATATGGCGTCAGTGCTGATGTCGGAAACAATTCTGCCGATGACGATGGCATTACGGGCGAATTTGATAAGCATGGTATGGTTGCTGGTGGTGGTGGTGGTGGTGGTGGGGGTGGTGGGGGTGGGGGTGGGGGTAGGGGTGGGAGTGGCGGTGGCGGCGGTGGTGGTGGTGGTGACTGTGGCGGCGGGGTGGCGGTGTTGGTGGTGCTGGATTGCTGTTGTACCTTTTGCTCATGCTTCTGATGTTGTTGCTCCTGCTGCTGCTGCGTCTGCTAGTGATAGTTCTGGAGCCGGTGCTGGTGCTGTTGCTGTTAAAGCTGCTGTTGTGGCTGATGCTGCCGCTGCGCTGCAGCAGCAAAAAGTGCTGGTGGTTGCTGTTGCTGGTGCCGGTGTTTGCTGTCGCTGTTGCTGTTGCGGTTGTGGTTACCGTAGCCGCTGCGGTAGTCGTTGGTGCTGTCGGTGCTGTCGTGGTGGTGGTTGTTGTTGTCGTCGTCGCTGCTGCTGCTGCTGCTGCTGTTGTTGTTGTTGTTGTTGTCGCTCCTGCTGTCGTTGTCGTCTCGTCGTCGTCGTCGTCGTGGTGGTGGTGGTGGTGGTGGTGGGGGTGGGGGTGGCGGTGGCGGTGGCGGCGGCGGCGGTGGTTTGTGGTTGTTGTTGTGGTTGTTGTCGTCGTCGCTATCGTCGTTAGTGCTGTTGGCAGGGTTGGTTGCGGTCTCGGCCAACCAAATAAACAAATGCAGCTCAACTCCGGAGACCAATGCAAAATTCCGCGCCTGCTCCTTCCGCGGTCATGATTCTGTCGCCGTTCTCCTGGGATCAACTCTCTCACTCAAGGAACGCACAGGTCCTGAACATCCGAGAAAGAAGGTGTCGCTATGCAACCCAATGCCTGTAGAAATGACGCCGGCTCCCTAAACCAAATGGACTCTAGTGCAAAAAGCGGTGGTCAACCTCTCATCATCACTTTTCTGCCTAACTTACGGACAGCCTCGAGCCGAGCTGAATTTGCCGCTTGGGCACATCCAGAAGCTGTAGCCGACCAGAACACTTGATCCACGCATACTCGGCGACCTTTTGGGGCTTGTGGAGGCTTTGGAGGCATCGCAACTTAGCTGCCCAGTACCCTGGCCCAAAAAAGTTTAAACTTTTCTTTTAGTCGGGGTTTAATATACCAAAAAGTTTAAAGTTTACGCATTGGGCTCCTAAGGCAATTGAGTCGGGGCGATGGTTCAGTGCATTCAGCGCAGCTCGTAATGCCCTGGCGATGAGTGTTTGCGTGAGTTCCAACTCAGTTGGCTGCTCAGCCTAAACCTAAACGTGGGGTACGACATGCGATAGGGATGCTGTGAGTACTCCCCCCGTTTAGGTTGTGTAAGTTTTGTAAACAGCGAGGTGGGACCCACGCACGGTTTTTGACCATGGACCTAACTTTAGCATTGCTCATAATAGATGATCTCACCCGAGCGTATTGGATCCACTAACCCCGGCTTATCTCCAGAAGGCCATGGCATCTGATTGGGAGATCAGCTTTGAAGTTCGGGGCCGAAGCTCCTGCACTCTACAAGCCTTTTGTCGGATTATCCACCACGGCAGGGCGCGAAAAAGAGCTCAACGCCCTCCCTGTTGCCTTCACCGCAACGCCCCGGCCCTGCAAGCAACAGACTCTGAAAGCCCAGAAGACCCCGAATGCTGACACCCCGCAATAGTCCCAGCAATCACCCGCCTGCCCCATGGTGCAAATTACCACACCGGGCATGTGGTCCTGTAGGTGGGATGCCGCACCTGAAAGCATGCTTCGGGATTTATGGTGGGCTCTGACGGTTTGTGCAACAACAGATTAACTTCAGGCTTCAAAACAGTTCCGTCATCTACGTCATATGAAGCATCAGCCGGCCCTGGTACTGGCATGGCCGCATGATTTCCGTTCGAACCCTGCAGCGTTTACGCATTGCAGGCAAGGCGCATATTTCCTGGATGGCACCCTTACCTAAGTCCTTGATTATGTCGAGGTTTTGCAAGTGGAAAGAAATCAGCATGTTCTGGACCTCGTTCTTCAGTACCTGCCAGGTCAACGGGAGGATGGGAGGCTGTCAGACGTTAGATGCCGCGGGGCTTGTCGACAGCCAGTGTGACGAAGACCGCGCGATTCGAAATTGATAGCAGAACCCACATCACGGACCATGTTGGAACATGTTTGAGGGTAGCTTACATTGCCTCAATAACCCCTATTACTAGCAAGCAAGACATGCACAATCGCCAGCATGTCCTTGCAATACATTAAAGTGATGCTCAAAAAACATGAATCACGAAAAACGACTGTTGCGAGAGTGAAACTCGCTTCCATACTTATGAGCTATATCTACGACAGCATGGGACAAATCGACATGGAGCGAACTATCGTGTTCAGATGTACATAGGTACAGAGAGGTGCAGGATAGGGGTGGTAGGTCTTCACTGGAGCGGTGTAGCGACAACAAGCGACCAAAGCAACAATGCTTCTGAGGAGCTCTGTAATGAATTGAGCACCCACCAGGATCAAAGGTGACCAAACAAATCGGAAAGAACACAGCAACACGGAGAGACCGACAGAAATGGATTGAAGGCACACAAACACAAACACGCTTGCCGTCCGTGCGAACATGAGGTCGCTCCCCGGGGCTCTCTGACTAACTCTGCTGGGATAGTCCTAATAATCTTTACATTGGGGGTCATTTTTCGAGGGATTTCCCCTCTGGCTCTGCAACTCTCATCCATCACTGAGTTCCTGGCGTCCGGAAGTTTCTCCATGAGGTTTGTCTCTTTTGCTAAGATGCGCCGGCGCTCGAACAGGTGTGCCTTGGGCAAAGCGATTGATGGATGCTCTGCGTAGCAACACATTTCGTCTTAGTAATATCGAAACTCCAATCAGGCCAGCATGTGTCCCGAAGCAAGGTGCCCATACGTTAGCTGGGAAGTACGTCTCACAACTACAAGGCCCGTCACAGTCCCGTGAGTACTACGAAGCAGAGAGCCCTGCAGCAGGAACGAGGCACCCTCCGACTGGGGTGGCGTTGAGCCACCGATGCTTGTCACCCATGATCTCGACTTGTCAAGCATCCCGAGCAATTGTCAGAAAGATGGTGGCACGGTGCCGCGTTTGAATTGCGTTCAAGCTCGAACTAGACCCAAGAGTGATTAGGGATGAATTCCTGAAGCTGCACCTGCGACACCAGAGCCACGAGGACTTCCGGAAACCAGGAAGCCTCTAGACATCCGACCCTTCTGGGCTTCAGGGAGGTACGTGTTGTCAGAGATTCCAAGTTGCCTAAGCTAGGGAATCCAAACCGGACCGACAGCCCATGTCCGCTGTGCCAGTCTGGGTGCCAAGAAGGCCTTGACACGCTGCTCTAGCGGCTTGGCTGCCTCAAACCTGCACGGCTTTGGGTTTTTTCAAGGCTTAGGGTTTAGGGTTTAAGGGTTTGCCCCACTACCTCTCCCAGATTTCAATCCGCAGGGTCTCTCTTTCGCCTCTCTTCTTCGGGGCATGCTCGTCTATGCAACTATCGTTGCCTTGTAGTCAAGTATTAGCCCTAAGCAAAGGTGAAGATTCTCGGGCGATGGATTCATTGTTGCCCCGTGTGCTTGGTCATGGACTCTCAGTTTCCATGTTACTGCTGCTGGGGTTCACTGACTCCGGGGTGTGCCAGAGAAAACGAGATGCCGCATTGCTGCACAGGGCCTACCTTTCTGTCAACATGTTCAGAATCTACCTCCTCTGCAAAGGGTTCTCAGGTACTGGCAACACTGGGGGTCCTTGGCTACAAGATTGAACCAATCGAGGCTCGAAAAGAGGATTTAGGTTGAAACACGGAAAAGGGTGCGAGGGAGGTTGCAGGCTTCGTCGGTTGGAGCCGGTAATTGCGCCGTGCGCACACGATTGCGAGCCCGCTTCCCCGTCCCCCTGTGCCTATTGAGATACATCCGAACAAAGAACATCTCGTCGTTGAAGCTGCGACCCCGCTCAAAGATCTTGAAGTAGGCCTGCCAGAGCCGTGCCAGAGTCAAAAGCTTCCACCGCACTTGGTACGGCTGCTGGCATCATCGGTTAGTGTGGTGTTGGTGCTCCTGCCCAATGGAATCGGATCCTTCGGCGTTCGAACTCATGTCTCAGCTGCTTTTCGATTTGCTCCGAGGGCTTAGAATTTCCTGCACCATGCCTGCGCCACACCGCTACGTGTTACCCCCCGTTCTCAGCCTGTGTCAACGATGCAACGGATACGGCAAAGGCGGAGAGCGCAAAGAACATGAAGAGCAACACAAAGATCCGCTCCGGAAAGTTCACCTAAGAAGGCACCGAAACGTCACCCTGTGTTAGCATTTGCCGTGATCAGCACGGCAACGGCAGAATGCATCCGAAGGTATCGTTTACCAAGAATGCATGCTTGGAGTCACAAAACCCCTGCAGCCGTCGAACGAGCTCTGAGGCGTAGAGTTCGAACAGTAAGCCGGAAGACACCCCGAACTCCTGAACCCAAACTTCAAGATGAGAAACCCCAACCCCCCAAAAACCTTAGCGTCCTAGATCAAAACCAGAAATCTCAGGCCCTAAACCCTAAAAACCGAAAACAGTCATCTCACCTCTCCGAACATGTATCTACTGCAGGGACCCTAAGACCTAGAAAGATAACGACGGCTTTGGGGTATGTTACGCTACTTTTCTCCAGATTATTCAGACCTGCTTACAAATACATACAACAGTACATACATACATACATACATACATACATACATACATACATACATACATACATACATACATACATACATACATATATATATATATATATATATATTATTTGTTTATTTATTTACAAAAAACATATGCACATCAGACCACTCATGTGCTTGTTTATTTACTTTGCAGCCGGAGGAGCCGGGGTTACCTCCGCAGGCATCGTCCGCATCACCCCGAGCGTCCAATAAAAGCAAAAGATGTACTGTTCCTCCATCCTTGGCGGTTCAGGGTTGCGGGTGCTTGGAAATTAGAGCGAACTGGCTCTGATTTTGAGGTTTTGTTGGAGCCTGGGGGCTTTGCCTCTCGTATCTTTGAGTGTGTCTTGCAAGTTGGGATTTGCACACTGCTTCTTCTGCTGCCGGCGAAGCTACGCCCGGCCTTATTCCCGTCACCCTTATACCATACCCCTAAACCCCTAGCCCTAAAGCTTAAGCCTTTTGCATCCAGGAGCCTTAAACCCCCAAACCCTACTCGTGCCTGAGCGCTTCAGGGATCGAAGCCGTTGAGGAGTCTTGGGTGTCCGGATTTCGGAGCTAGGCTCTTCTCCATGGGGCCTTAGAATAGGGTTTTGGGTTTAGGG